GTACTTAGTCTATATACGTTCCTATCTCGAATATATTTAGGAATACTAGTTACTCCCTCCGCTACGTCTAATATAGAAACCTTAGTTACCAAACTTCGATTATTTATAATCTCTACTAGCGATTAGGCTATATTCGATCTTACTAGCTAGCTTAGTTACGAAGGAAAGGGTTTTTAGGTATACTAAGCCGATCTTCGGAGATATCGAATATAAGTTCGATATATACTTATAGTACCTCCGTTATATAAATAGTCGCTCTAACCTAGAATAGAATAGATCGTAGATATATAGCGTAATTTAGTAGCTCGTCCGCTAGGATATCTTATACTAGGCTTTATATACTTCTTTGCGCGCGGATAGCAATTACCGTTTAGTATCTTATCCTTATTACGCGAAGTACTAGTATAGCGGTAATAAGGGTAATAAGAATATAAGTCGTAAAGGCTTTAAGTATATTAACTATAACGTTATAGATCTTATAGTAGGCAAAGGTACTAGTTAGATCTAAGGCTCGGTATCGTTCGATAACGAGACTTATAAGGACTATACTATACTTGTTTAGGGAATATACTATAACGAGACGTTTCGTAAGTAGGTAGAGGTAAACCGCGCCGCCGGTCGTTTGTAGAATAGCCGGATCTATAATATTATAGATAAGGAGCTCGGGCCTAAGCTAAGAAAGAAGATAGGTCTAGATTAGTAGCTAACTCCGGTCTAGCGATATAGCGTCTATATTACCGACTCCCGTATTCCTTGTAGTATACTACCTTTATAGGGCGTACGACGTACGATCCTCCCTTAGTTTGTAGCTATTACTAATATAGAAACCGGAGAAATAGAGAACCTAAAAATAGGGACCCTTTAGTAGATCGTAGAGGTATACTAGATAATAACTGCTCTACTATCTAGCCTATCGGGCTACTCTAATATATATAGTCCAATTCCGTACCGCTTTCCTACTATAGCCTAGTTAGATAGCCTTAGCCTAATCTCGGACACTCTAGTTAGTCGTAAATCTTAGGCCGATATAGAAGTTATCTACGAGTTGAACTATATTGCTTATATAGAATCTCTTCCTAAGTAGGAGGCGTATAAGCTCAAATAGTAGGAGAACGCTATTAAGAGATATAAGAAGGCTTTCGACAATATTCGCTATTCTAAAATAGTACTCTTCGGGAACGCTAGTTATTTCTACTATAAGGGTAACTTTAAGTCTCGGCCGTAGCCTAATTTTTCTACTCTCGACTCTAAGTATATAGAGGAAGGCTCCGGTACTATACTTAAGAGCAACGTATCCTAGATAGAATAGGTAGTATATTAGTTAGGCCCCTAGGGCCTAACCGGGAGCTTCCGGATATAGGGAGGGTTTAGGTTTTTACGGTTAGGTTCCTTGTTTTTGATAAGTCGTTTAGGTCTACTTTTTTTTCTATACGCGATCGTTAGGCAGAGAGGATTTGTTATACCTATATCTACAGAACAGATATATAGGTAGAGGAGGATATATTAAGCGGCTAGGCGTATTTCCTTTATATAGGGCGTTAGGGTAGAGCCGAGAGCCGGACGGCCCGGGAGGGCCGTACTACTCCTAGCGGGTAGCTATATAGAGTACTTTTCTTCTTTTTATAATAGAGGATAGGACGGATATAATTAGGACGTAGACGTACGGATACTCTACTCTACTATAATTAATATCGTTACCTTATAGTATGTTTTGTCTTCTAATATTACCTTTCCTACCGCCTACCGCTATCCCCGTATCCTACCGGACCTCTACCTATCCTACTCCTTTTACTATAGAGCTACGCCGCGACCTACTATAAGCCGGGCCTATCCGATCGTCTATCCGAGGATAGTAGTAGGAGAGAGGGCTATATAGTAATACTAGATTTAGAGGAGACGGGTCCTAATTCTCTCTAGAAGAGTCGACTAGATATAGAGAGAGAAGATAAAGAAGAGGAGTCGTAATAGGAGTTTAATAAGGAGATAACAGAATTAGAGGATATAGTAAGGGCAGCGTATACGGTCGCTATAGAGCAAGCGAATAATCGGGGTATATAAGAATTCGTAGCTAGGGGAAGTATCGACAAGATACTAAGTATAATTGTAGAAGAGCCTATTACTAAACGAGAGAGACTAGAGACAGAAATTTCAGCTCGCTTTATCCTTAGAGCTACTTGTTTAAGGACCCTATTATTAATAAGGACGGAGCCGGCTTTCTAAGCGGCCTAGTAAAGAATAGAGATACGTAAGGCCTAGAGAGTAAGGCAGTAGTATATAGTAACAGAAAGTCGGTTTAAATACTAGATACGCGTTCTAGCTAGGCTAGAGAAGGAGATATTGAAGTATTTACTATAAGCCTAAGATCTAAAGTAATTTGGTTTTTCTAATTTTTATAGTCGGTAGGTATAGTCGATAGGTATTATTAGCTATAGAAGGAGATGTCGAAGTATTTACCGTAATCTTCTAATCTAAATTAATTTGCTTTTTCCTAATTCTCGTAGTCGGTAGGTATAGTCGGTAGGTATTGTTAGCGAGTTTAGGCAGTACGGTATATATAAGGCTTATTACTGTTTAAGAAGCGCTTACTATATTTATTCTATATCTAGAAGAGGTTTTACGTAATACCTATCGCAATACCTATTAGGTATACCTATTAGGTTTTTTCCGTTAGGTTGTACCTAGCTTATAAGCTAGGTACCTACCTTATTTGCGGAGTTAGGTATTAACGTTAGGTTGTACCTAACCTATACCTAACCTAACCTATAACGAGGCCTACTTACGGGTAGATATCTATCTATCTCTATCTCTATCTCTATCTCTATCTCTATCTAACGGGTAGATATCTAGAGCTACTAGGGTTGTCGCGACGGATAGATATCTACGTACGGGCGCGTCTATCTCTATCTCTATCTTATAGGTAGATATCTATCTATCTCTATCTCTATCTTTATCTCTATCTCTATCTCTATCTCTATCTCTATCTCTATCTCTATCTCTATCTCTATCTCTATCTCTATCTCTATCTCTATCTCTATCTCTATCTCTATCTCTATCTCTATCTCTATCTCTATCTCTATCTCTATCTAATAGGTAGATATCTAGGGCCGCTAGGGTCGTCGCGACGGATAGATATCTATAGGCGCGTATAGGCGCGTCGCGTCGGAGAGCACGTCGCGTCGGAGGGTACGTCGCGTCGGAGGGCGCGTCGCGGATATATTAGAGACGGAGCGTCTAACGTCGGACGCTCTAGTCCTATAGTTAGGAGTAGTACGGCCTACCTAGGCCGCCCGGCTCTTAGCTCTATTCTAATGCTCTATATAAAAGAAATACGCCTAGCCGCTTAATAATATATATACGAATTACTACTAAATATAACAATCCGAACTTACCTAGAGAGGATAATAAGGATAAAGATAAAGAAGCGACGTAGCTTGCTTGCCGTAATAGTAAGCCCTAGGTACCTATTTAATAGTAGTCTTACCGACGTACTACTATACTAGTAGGCGAGAAGTCTTATAGATATAGTACTAGCTATATCTATAGTAGGTACGTTTGCTTAGCCGCCGAGCGTCTCTATAATACTTACTACAAATACAAGACGAACGTATATTAGAACGTATTTAGTACTATACTAGAGCGTCTATTAACTATAGCGCTAGTACTAGTATATATAGTATATACTACCGACCGTAGCTACGTACGAGGTAGGCTATAAGGCAGGCTACTAGACAGGCTACTAGGTAGGCTACTAGATAGACTACTAGGTAGGCTACTAGGTAGACTACTACGTAGGCTACTAGGTAGACTATTAGGCAGGCTACTAGGCCGGCTACGAAGCCGGCTACGAGGTAGGATAAGAGCTAGAACAATATATAGTAGTATAGACGAACGCGGAAGAGGTAAATTAAGAGCTAGAACAATACGAAGCGGCGCTATAGTATTAATAGTACGAGATACAATAGTAGTAGGTATAATACGAAAGCGACGACTATTGTTATAAGAGTAAGGAGATACTAGTAATAGAAGTTTTAATATAGATATAGATAATAGTAGCGAGGAGATAGACCTAGCGACGCCCTTATACTCTTAGTAGAGTATTAGTAGGCTATCGTTCCGGCTAGTAGTATAAGCTAAGCTAATTAGAGGGCTAAGATATATAATAGATTGTACTAGGTAATATATACAAATATAGCTAGAATCGCGTTTTTAGCCTATAGCTACGAAAGCTCGATTTTAAGCTTCCTCTAATAGACTATAACTTAACGTAAGGTTGCCCGATTATAATAACCTTCTAGTATATTATTCCTATAGTAATTTTAATACTCTGCTATACTAATTTTGTATCTCTATAGTATGTTGTTGCTATAGTATTTAAGGGAGTAAAGATTTAAGAAGAGTAAAGATTTAAGTAGTATCTTACCTAAGGTATTAGTCTTAGCGTAGGGCTCCCGACGTTTAAAATTAACTCTTCTAACGTTTATAAATCCCCCTTAGTAGGGTATAGTTATAGAATATAGTAATAATAGATATAGTAATATATATATATATAGTTCGTACTCTAATAGTAGCGGCAACGAACTAATAAGTTACTTATAGCGATAATAAAGCTCTAGTAACAATAAAGCTATAGAGCGAGTAGAATATAGCGATAGTAAGGTATAATATAATATAAGTACTACTACAAAGGACAAAGTAAAGTATAATTATTTATAGCCCTTAGCTACTTTAGCCTTCTGTCGTTCTATCGGACTATACCGTACTCTAGTATCGAATACATTTGTAAAATCCTTCTCGCTCGTACGCGGACTACTAGCGATCAACCGCTCGACGAGGACGGTTCGGGAAACAAAGAGTACAATAAGAGACATTGCGGCTACGATAGCTATAATCATACGTATAGTAAGTTGGATGTAGTAGGATAGAATATTGCTCGTCGGACTAATCTCCTCTTTTTCTCAATTAGAGATCCTGTCCGTCTACAAGTAGGTATGTATGTACACTCAGACATTCGCATACATAACAACATTACTAAAAGCAACAGTACAAGTAGGATCCGAGCCCGAACAACCGGCATACATCTGAAATAAGTGATGAGAAGCCAACGTGGTTCCCGTAACATTCACCGCAATTTGTCGCTGAGAAGTAACGTCAAAGATAGACCAAGCCCATCCATTGACGCCCGACTGCGCATACAAAGTATTGTAGATACCCGCATCACAACTGCAGCTCGACGAGATATTGAAGACGACGTTGGCTGTGATTCGGAAAGTCTGGCCGGGATCGATGAGGACGTTCTGTACGAGATATCCGGCGTTGAAGGTCGTGTCGAGGGGAGAAAGGGTGGTAAACATGATTAAACCAGCGGAGACGGCGGCCAAGGGTAGTTGGGGAAGGAGACCTACGACACGGGCAACTCCAAAGGATGCTTTGAGTATGGAGGTCACACCCGTCGCGACCCAGTTCCAGTTTGTAGGGCCGTTGGAAAAGTCGCCGTTGGTGAGGATGGGGGTACTGAAGGGTGGAGTGAGAATGTTCGTGCCGAGGGTAGGACGGTATGTGTACAATACAACGTCGTCGATGGTCCAGGTGACGGTAAAGCTGCCACGGCAGTAAACGAAGAAGATGAATCTGCTTGAGGCTCCTGTCGTGGTACCACTCGCATTAAAGCTGCTGGCGAAGCCGCCGCTGGTGTCTGTCAGGTTGGGAGAGAAGAAGACCAGCACTTCGGAGTCGGTCTGAGCATAGAAGCTGCAATAATCGGTGGGAGCAATGGTGCCAGACAGACTCATCCGAAGACGGAAGCCGAGGTAATAAGGCAGGCCTGCGGCTAAGTTGACAGTTTGGATCAGCTCGCCGGCCTCATATCCGTTTGATCTGGCAAGGTCAAAGGTCGTAGTTCTGAACTGCTGTAAGCTTCGATTGATGCAAGAAGAAGGATTGGACTAACGCTGCACCAGCGGACGTATCCACGCCGAAGCTATTCGTCTTCCATGCGCTCAGTAAGTCCAAGTTAGAGAAGTCGCCGTTTGTGATGAGTTGCGAAGCCTCACTCCTACCAGAGGGTCCGCTCAGACGCACGGCGGAGTCCACAGTATAGGACGGGATTTGGTTACTCTGCAACATTTTGGTTTTGAGATTGCATTGGATAGTGCTTCCGCCGAAAAAGCCGTAGGTGATGCCAGTACAGACCGAGCCTTGGTTCGAGCAGAGGGCAAGGCAAGCTGCGTATGAAGTGGCGAGAAGAGGATTGAGGCCAAACACATTCTGACTGAGAGGCGAGTAGTCCTTGTTACATACGACAAGGTACTGACTACCGTCTCCTACACGCCAGTCAGCCGTCGATGCATGATGTCTGTAATCACTTACCAGTCGTGATCGTTTGCCCGTTCGCAGCTGGACAGCGGAGGTTTCCGGGCGTTGGGGCTGCCGAGCTAGGAGAAGATATAGTACTGGACGATACTGTAATGAAAGTGGTTGCGCTTGTAAATCGTGCTGTGCTGGAACTCGATGTCGCTGTCCTCAAGGACGATGCTGATTCCGACAGAATCGAGCTCAATGAAGAGGAAGTTGACGAGACCAGGTCGGGAGATAGCGTGCTAGTGTTGACTGTACTGTCCAAAGTAAGTACGAGCCCAAGGGTACCAGATTCTTGCTAATCGAAGCCTGCGAGGAACGTATACCTTGAGCTAGCCCGACTTGTGCTAGTAGTAAGAGGAGGTACAGTTGCTAGCGAGCTTGTAGCAGAGGATGAAGTGCTTGAGCTGCTCAATGCTCGCAAAGAGCTAGTGCTCAGAAGGAAGCTCGCCGAGGTGGATGATGGAATAGTAATTGTCAAGAGAGTTGATGCACGGATCGATGTCGAGAAGGTCGATATACTACTCGTCCCCGTGGTCGTCACCCTCGTTGTCGTCGTCGTCGTCGTCGGACATGCCGCTAGATTGAGTCCACCACAATATAGCAGACCTGCCATCCTGTGTAGGCGACCGCTACGGAGAGATGTAGAAGAAAGATGATCATCGGCCCGGGTCCAGATCGACAGAGGGCACGGCCTAGTATAGATCTTTGCCAGTGCATCGGGAGCCGATTCTGCTGGAGGAATGTGCTTTGATCTAGTCGGCATCCCGCGTTCAGTGTCGGCAACACCACATTCCAACGTCTGTCACGATAAGCATCGAGTATAACGGCGACATCCTCATGCGTCTACGCAATCCCACGACGGAAACCAAGATTGGAGTGGCGCCAGGTTGGTAGAAATTCGTGTCGCCATTGTGAATCACTGCTGTTCTTCTTGCGCGGCTTTTCCTGTGTTGTTTTCAATTAATAGTTCTGCTGTTTCTGAAATATGCAGAACACTGCTGCCACACTTGTTGGAACGATGACTCTGCTCACAACTCGATGACCGAAAGTTCTGTTATGCCCATGAGCAGTCGTCAGACTCCTCAAGACAGTGTCTCGCGCTCGAATCACCGTGGCAACGACTCTAGCATTCCTGTACCTCAGCCTCCGTCAGATACAATCTTGGCCTCGCGGACGGAAGCAGCTTTGGCGATTGCCATCTGTCATCCACGCTTTCGGCGGTACTGGCCCATGTCGTATCTCACGGTGAAGATGATACAGATGCTCCAAGCGTGACAGCTCTGATAGCCAGCATATTGCAGCCGTCTGGTAATGCATCGCTGAGCAAACTACACGATTCTTGATTGCGTTCTACCACAGCAAGGCAGCCGCCGTCTGCAGACAAGAGCTGGGGTGTATTCTGGGGATAGCATGGAATTAAAAAGACGTCCTCGAGTAGTCTACATTGGGTGAGGTCAGTCGGAGCTGCTGAAGAAGTGTGCTCTTTTCGAATGGATTCAAAGCGCATGCAGTCAGCCACTTCGGCTTCAGACCAGGACATATGGATGTCAAAGAGATGAGCAGTGCAGTCTGTCCTGATATGGCGTCTGGCACGAGCGCAACCGCCACCACCTGTGTACCTCATGCACATTCGGCCTAATGTTTGCTTAGTTTGCGTGTTACTGGCAAAGGAAGACTGTGTCTGCCGTCAGCCGAGAGTTGGGGCTGATATGTGATAGGCAGCACGGCCTGGGCTGTCATTCCGCACGCGCGACTTCCGCTCTTCTTTGATCTCTCAACGTTTCGCAACGCCTGGGCGACCTGGCGGGCACGCGGCTTCGTTGCCGAGTGCTGTCAAAAGAGTTCGTGACTGCCGAAGAGAAGCATTTGCAGCATATGTGACACATATTGGCCTTTTGTGCGACTAGCCTCATACTCACCGCCAGCACGACCGGCGACATGTCAAACTCGCGGCCATGACCCCATTATAGAGAGAGGTGACTGTGCAACAGTGATGATGCTATTCCTCGCGTAATGACACTGAGACCCTTCTTCTGCAAGTGGTATCGAATGTGGTTGGCCATGTACCACGACTCCACGAGGAGGCCACGTGAGATATAGGCGTCTATGCTGAACAAGCGCTTCGCGTGCGTGCTGATGATTGTCGAGCGAGCGTCGCAGAGTAAGCAAACTTGTCGTCAACAACCACAGCTGGTCAGTCCGTGGGCCCCGTACCATGAGGGCTCAGGGACATGCAAGAGATAAGAATGTGGCCATTTTTAGCGCCACGCAGGTCGTACCAGCACATGGCAGTGCCCCGTGGTGCGACTGCTCGCGCCTTTGCTGGAGAGAGAGGAGTGCGGATGGTCTGCAGTGCTTCTCAGGCCTGCCCCCTTCTACCGTATCGTGGGGTGCCATTGCGCACGGAATATCGCTCTCATGCTCACTTACCTGAGTTCACGAGAAGGGAGGCTCAGAACAGACAGATGGGAGCACCCACCTACTGTCCTTCATGTCCTCTTGAATCACTCCAGGCAGGACATGAAGTCTTTCCGTCGCATGATCAGAGGTATGCACCTCGGTTATAGTGCTGGATTCTAGTTTGTGCAATGGAGAGTCATGCACTCTCGCTCACTCGCAGACATGATTGGCGAGCGCGTCTGCTGTCAGTCGTGCAACCAGTGCCAGGAGTAGTGCTGCATTGTCCGCAAGTAACCGCGTCGGGCCTCGAAACAGGCAACAATTGGCTCTGACATGCATGCATGAGCCAGCATGAAAAGACTCTCATGCCATGGCATGGATGGGACGGGTCACAGTATGAGCATCCAAAAAAAAAGTGACAGCTGCACGTCACCCGAAGCGGTCTTTCTGTGTCTGTCTCTCTCTCTCTCCGTCTGTCTCTCACCCTCTCTTTCGCTCTCCTCTCCCCACGCATCGTATACATAGCGAGCAGACAGGGGCAAGATGCGGTGGCTGTCGAATCAAGGAGCGAGCGCATTGTGGGCCTGGTGACAGATGCGCTTCATCAGTCTGATGATTCCTTCTCCACTCGAACTGCCTCATCCTCGTTCTATTGTACTGTAGTGCGGAGCCATCGTAGAAGACTACCTCCTAGTTCTACCGAAGGCTGCAGAAGAGCGGGCTGGACAGCGAGGGTCAGAGAGCCGTCGCCTCGATGTGCCATTCACGGTATAGTCGGACATCTGCCGGGATGGAGAGTGGAGTGGGTCGGTTTCTCTGCGCACAGTGCGTGTCACATGTGTCGCGTGGTGTAGTCGTGTTGGGCGAATGGGTTGCGAAAGAAATGGGCAAAAGGTTGAAAAGCAGCAGGCAGCGTGTGGAAGTGGAGCGTGCCGGTGCGGTGCCAAGCGATGTCGATCGGCCGTTAGTGAGATTCCCTGCAATTGCATTGGATGCATAGGTACCGTAATGCATGCACAGTCGGGTAGAACCAGTTCTAGCGCCTTCTACCTCGTAGTGTGGAGGGAGGGCAATGATCCTTCTTCCATCCTCGCCATACCCGACATTGACATACACCTCCAGACTAGGAAAGGTATCATCGACATCACATCGACGTCGACATCGACATCGACATTGCACGTGGCTGGCCCAAGCACAATTGAACCATTCATGACTCCAACCGCGAGCCAGGGACGGCCGCCTTTTCTGTCCCTTCTGCCACTTCTACCAGAGACCGACTGACTGACTGTACCTCGCCGTCGCGTTCGCCGTCGCCGTCGCCGCCGCCGCCGCCGGGAGCCAGCAAGAAGAACCTAAAAAGACACCGACAGCATCACCACCACCAATATCATCACCATCATCACCATCATCATCATCATCATCATCATCATCATCATCATCAATATAACCATCCATCAGTATTAAACGGTCCCGCAATTCTCGAGGCCGATGCCGAGCACATGCACCCCATCTCCGCCCTGCTGTGCTCCATCCAGCACTGTTCACGCCGTTGTCTTGCCGCTCGTCGTAACTCGTTTGTTGAATATTGATTATTCCCAGCTCCGCCCCGCTCTGGCCATGCTGCTGCTGCATCTACACCCCCTGTCGCATTATTGAGAACACGACCTTTTTTCCGTTTTCCTAGCGCCAGACGGCTCCGGCGATCCCATCAACCTCTTCTACCTTGCTTCTACGCAGGAACCACCTCGACATTGCCGCTTCTCGCCACCACGCTTAACGCTTTACGCTACACGCTTTGCGCTTTGCGGCTCTGGTGGACGGGCGCTGCATCGGACGAACAATGCGCTCTGGGATCCTCCCGTGATTGCGTCTGTCTGTCTGTCTGTCCGCCTGTCTGCTTGTCTCCAAGGTGTGCTCGGCTGGGAGCACCCCCGCCGTGTCCTATCATCTCATCCTGCAGCTTGCACCGGTCCGCCCGCCTTGAAGCAGAACCCACCGCGCAGTATCACTATCTCATACATACCTCCTAGCGATACTAGATACTAGCTACTTTGCCCACCCCGAGCGAAGAACAACCACAAAGCAAGGTTGGAGATCATCATCCTGTGAGACTCCTGCGCCGTGGAAGCGGAATCGATATTGCAGCAGCTGTCTGCCTACCATTGCCACGCGGGCAGCTGCTCCCTCTTCTCCCCGTCAAACACGCAAACAGACGCTTCCTGCCGCCGGAATGCTGCTGCATTAACCCCCGCCGGTACTATACATATTCTCGAAATCTTGGCCAGCATTGCACACTATGGCCGACATTTTCTACTTCACGAGCCCACGCAAAGCGAGCACTGTCGCAAGATATCGACCCTCTGCACGAAGAACACCAAAAGTCGTCAGGAAGCGTCGCGCTACAAACGCGGAAATGTTTGATCAACGAGCATGCGTGGCTCAATACGAAGAGCCTACTTTTTGTCCCAGCGATGATGCTATATCGCTCTTTCTTTCCCGTCCTGTTCATGCTACTGCTCGAGATACCCCTTCTGCTTTTGATCCGGAACATGACTACGATATGGACGATACGGACGACAATGACGATCAACAAGAATCTGGTGGGGTGCCTTTGCCGCCCTCACAACGACCTCACATGCCTCACGACCAGGACAATGTACATATGAACTCGCCCATGCTCACGACTCACGACCAAGATACCCATCTCTACATCCACGACGATGCAGATCGTGCACATGGCACGACCATGCCATCTACTACACTCAGCCCCACACTATCGAGACCTCGGCCAAGGAGTCATGCGAGGCCACAGACGAGAGAGAGCAATGCGGAAGAAAGCAGTCGAAGGACGAGATTTGCGCTTGCCGGAGATAGTACGAATGAGGAACCGCAATTCGATGAAGCACCATCTTCATTTTCGCATAGTCTGCCTTCACACAGGGACGAAACTCCAGCTTCGACTTCTGCTCCCCGATGGAGTCCGCCGCAGCTGATGCCTCAACCATCCACCATTCAGAACTCACACCATGCCACGGCGCGAGAGCTTGAGAACGCGATCCTGGTTCGCAACATCCAGCATACACATATCATGGACATTGATGAAGATGCGCTCGCAGTCGATGACCCCCGAAGACATTACGATGTCGCAGACTTCATGGATACTTGGCGACTGCATTCGATCGCTAACAAGCAACTGCCTCCGTTTGAGCCGGGGATACAATCGTCGATTCGGCTCGGTCGACCTCCAGAACAAGTCACTCGGGAGCAGGCCGAGTCTGGAAATGTGGACATGCAGGGCACCAGATGGCACATGATTGGTCCATCCCAAGAATGTGCGCATGTCGCCCGCGCCATGCTGCACCCGTCGAGCGCAGGGTCCAACTATTCACGTTCATCGCAATACGATCGTCCATGGAGCAGCGCAGGCCATGTAGACAGTCCGTATCGGTTTCGCGCCTTCGTACCCCGACATCGGGCCAGTTTTGAGCATTATCAATTGCGAAATGTACTTGCAGCCACGGATCGTAATAACGTCTTTTACGTGTCGACTGGCAATCGGGTGATGCGAGCATCGCTGGCATGCCCTACCTCGCAAGAGACAGTGATGAATCTCAGCAAGCCGTCCAACACAGCCGCAGGGTTTCGTATCACTTGTCTGTCGGCTTCGTCGCGGTCGATGGCACCGGGCAGTGTGACTGACAATGTGTTGATTGCCGGCGGATTCCACGGAGAGTATGCAGTGCTGAACGTCGAAGGCGAGCAGCGGCAACCCTCGGAAGGCTTTGTCACACACGCGTACAACGGCCTCGTCACTCATGTCCATAATTATCAAGACCGTCGATCGGGCTTGCTTCGTGCAGCATTCTGCTCGAATGATCACCAGGTACGGCTGATGGACCTGCACAAACTCACATTCACAAACACGTTCCACTACGATCATGCGATCAATTGTGCTGCCACTTCCACCGATGGCCGCCTACGTGTGCTCGTTGGCGATAGTACCGACACCATGATCACTGACGCAGATCGCGGCGTGCCCCTCGTGACGCTCCGAGAGCATACCGACCATGCTTTTGGATGTGCCTGGTCTCCCAACGGCCGACATGTGGCCACGGCTGCGCAGGATGGTGGTGTTGTGGTCTGGGATGCCCGGAGTTGGAAGCAACCATTGTGTAGGTTCGAAAGCAGCATGTCATGTGCTCGATCACTCCACTTCACGGACAATGGTGCTCTCGTGGCTGCAGAGAACGAGGACATTGTGACCATTTACGATGGGCCCAGCTTTGGCCACAAGCAAGAGATCCGTTTCTTTGGGTCCATTGCAGGCGTGACGTTGCTGGATGGAGGAGCAGAACTCGCCGTCGCCAATGCCGACAAGACTCTTGGAGGATTGCTCACATTCGAGCGACGATTCCCGGGTCAGACTCTCGGTGAGGATCATGATGACAGGCCTGTACCCGCTACATATCTCGGTGCACGACGCCGCAGTGGTAGACTATCTGATCTTTCAGGCATTCTGGTTTAGCTAGCCCGCTACAATCAATCCCAGACTTGCTGCTGCTGCTGCTGGTGCTGCTGCTCACTCTCCTTCTCCTCTCTTTCTTTTCTATCCTTCATTTTTCCCTGCTCAATTCCGACATGATCATCATCTTCGGGCGGGAGGGAGGAAGGGAAGGGAAATAACAAGTCTCACTCATCACACTGTACATCCCTTCCACAACATACTCAAGGTTTCGTCTATCTTCGCCTATTTGCTCACAAAACAAGCGAGTCCGCAGTACATCCATTAGTGCGACGAGCGAACCAGACCAAACCGAACGAATATACGAGTCAGTTGAGTTGAGAGTGAATTGCAATACCAGGTACAGAGAGAGAAATGAAATGCGATAGAATGCGACGATATACAGAGCATGTCTAGTGGATACCTCTAGGTACCTGAGGTTTTTTCGATGATGTATTTCGGGACTACCCTACCTTACCTAATAGGTATCCACTTTCGCGCGGGAGTCTGGTCTGGTCTGGTCTGGCTGGGTACTGGGGTGGTGGATTGACTAATCATCACTTAAATATATTGAGCCGACAAGAGCCTTTTGTAAGCGAGTGACCTCTTGGCCATCTACTATACCCGCAAGGCATGTCATGTCACTCTAGCAAAAACAAAAGCAAGAAATGGAAAAGAAAGGAAAATGGAAAAGAAAGGAAAATGGAAAAGAAAGGAAAATGGAGCATCATGTCCTTCTGTCACAAGACGAGCCTACTCGGCATAGTCGAAAGCTTTCTGTCAGTCTACCTAGCTCTCCTCTCTCTTCCTGTCTGTCTCGGCCCCTGAGACCGGCCGGATTGACGTCTGTATTCGTACACATTGATGCAATGCAATGCAATGCCATCTCACTCTCATTCTTCTTCTTCGCTGATTTTTTTGTTGCCCCCTTGTAAGGCAAAGAGCGCGCTCCATCCGTGATAATCACAATTTGGTATTCCCCCCCAAAAGGCACCGCGCTTCGTAACGAGAGTTTGCCCATGCCCCAATATGCACAATCGCATTTTCCCATTCGCCTCGCTAATTTTCAAAGTTTCCCAGTGCGCAAAATGTAGAAACAATCCGTTGTTTTGTCTTTTCTTCCTTCTTTCAATCCTCCTCCTCCTCTCTATATTCCCTGGCGTGCAGGTATCCTCCTCACATCAAGGGTACACCGCCGATGTAGGACGTGGCTGGTAAGCTCGCTTTGTGAGTCTGAAACACGGCCAGAGCCGCATCGAAATCCCAGTTGGCAGTCGTGAGACACTGGTGGGAGAGACCCAGCGTCAGGCCCGTCCGCTTGGTCAGCTCTGCACACATCTGCTCGGCCATCTCAATGTTCAAGTGTGCAGGAAGTTGTGGCAGACCGTCAGACGTCGCGGCATCCGCAGCGGGCATGGGTGGAGTCGAGGCGCCAGCAGTGGCTTGAAAGGCTTGAGTGCCGCCATATGCGCGGATGGTGATGGTATGACTGACGACACGCACGCCGGTAGAGCCTCCGGGGCCTATGTATACGGCATGATCGCAGCTGCGCATCTTACCCGTCTCGGGCTCGGTAAACTCTCCGTGGATCGACATGAAGAAACCATCGACTCCTCCAGGAGTGTTGTTGATGGGATCTGGAATGCCCGGCTGTAAGTGGGCCTCAATCATCCACTTTTGCGGCTCGGTGGCGAGGTCTGGGTGCTGAGACTTGGGAAGTCCCGCAAAGCCGTCAATAATGGCCTGGGTGCCTCGCAACAATCGCTTCTGGCGAGCGGGCAGTTGTGTGAGCTTCTTGAGGTTACGACTGCCGTGAATGTAGGATGCCCATTCTTGCGTTTGTGGCTTGCCCGCATCCAAAGGATCTCTCGGGGCTTGGGTGTTGAGGGCAATGGAGAACTCGGAGTGCTCATCGTAGTACATGCGAGCCAGGGCGGGTCGATCCGTGTCGAAGCCGGCGAACCAGTTGCGGATGAAGGCCTCCACAATTCCGTCCTCATCTTGAAAGTGAGGAGTGCGAATGGGAAAGGGGATGTTGGCGACGTTGTTCTGGTTCTTGATATCGTCCTCGGACCGCACCTGGACTTGATTGAGCATGCGCAGGTTCTTGAACCAACTGATGATCTCTGCGGCGGCATTCGGCTCGTTCTGTTCGATGGGGTTGCCAAACACGATCAAGTGCTGTAGCTTCTTGAAGCGGTGTCGCCAAATTTCGAGAGAGGCCAAGGTGGCGAATTTGTTGTGGGAGAGATCGAGGTTGATGAGATTGGGCAGAGACTGAGACAGCGTCGAGACGATTTTGAGATCTTCCAAATCGTTGCTGGCCAGAGAGACGCCCTCGATGGCTTCGTCGCGCTCTTTCGTCGAGTTGAAGGACAGATCGAGCACCTTCATTAGAGCGGGAAAGAACTTTTGCGTGGTCGAAGCTTTGCCAAACATGTCCGAAGCTTGCAGTTCCGCATCGGTGCCGAGTGCGGAGAGGTCCAAGAACTTGGTTTCGGGATTCCATCGTCGCTCGAGCACACCGCGAAGCATTGCCTTGGTTTGCTCGGCGCCAGAAGAGGAAGCAGGCGAATGATTGCTCTGCGAACCGGAGCCACCCACTCGCTTGATGGTGAGCTTGGCACCTGCCCAGTCGTAGCCGTTCATGCGCTCATAGGCCGATGCATCTGCCGATGGCACGCTGATGGTCACCGTGTCTGCGTCGAGTCGCGATTTGTTGATTCTCGTATTCCTCTTGCCCAGGCGCATAGACGCCTTCTTCTCGAGCCACTGCACCAGCGACTTGAACCCCGCATCCGAATTGTTCGCTGCTCTGCTCAACTTCCAGCCGTCAATGGTGAGGTCGACGAGAGTCCCACGCGGTGTCGTTCTCGCTTCTCGCATCGAGACATCTCCGTGTGCACCAGCGGCTGCTGCTTTCCGAATCACTTCTCGCCTGGAGCCGTTTGTCGTGAGGTCCTTGCGTGTGCCCGCTGCATTCCTACCCGGCCGAGCTGTTGTGGCGGCGGGACCGGTGGGAGGCTTCTTGCCGATTCTGTTGGAGGAAGCTGCGCCTTTGACAGTGAGGTCGGCCATTTTGGCATCTCCATCACGATCAGCGCGGCGGCGGATGGCGCCAGGCCCAGCACGAGGTGCGCGCGACCTGGCGTCTGGCCGCACCATGTTGGTGGCGGCGGCGACGGCGGAGCGGGGATATCGAAGTCGGTGTCGGGGCACAAAGAGATTCGAGTGGGCGAAGGTGTGGTGGGTTCGTGAGTAGCTGGAGGGTGCTGCCTGCAGTGGATGTGATGTGGTGGTTTGCGCGCGTGGTTTGGAGGTCGTCGCTGGTTTTGGTGGCAGCAGCAGCAGAATTGAAGGGAGTGCTTCCTGTGGTGAAGAGAATGTGAGCGGGTGCGGTCAGTGGTCAGTGGATCAATGAATGGTGCAAGAGGACAAGCAATTGGCAGACAGGTGAGAAGGGAATAAAGGCAGAGGCAGGTCAAAGATGTGTATGGCAGTCAGAAGTCAGAGCTCGCGACGCTAAACCTGCCAAGAGAACCTGGAAGGGTACGAAGGTTAGACTTCGCGCCTGAAACGTCCGTGAAGAGGCCTCAGGCAGAGAGAGACATCTTGTCTGCCTGAGGCCACTACAACTACCACCATCACCACTACCTCCTACCACTCACTTCACTTCACTTGCAGTACCCCCTACGGGGAACATGTTCATCCGGCAGATATCTCGATATATATCCCTTTTTCCGGTGCATATTGATCCTCCCTCACCGCCAGTCCTCCGTCTGCTCCAGCAGATAATGTCCCGTCGCATATCATCTAGCGCATTCGGCATATTAAGGTACCATCAATCCGCCCCGAATCTGGCCTGGCATGGTATAGCATCGCAGCGCATCGCATTGCAGGACGCCGGGCGCAGTGGCTGGCCATTTGATTCTTGATATTCCGTCTTTTTTTGTTTTATATATTGCCCGGCATGAGGATGAAGGAGGAAGGCCGGACATATTGCCACGAGTATGGCACGGGCACAACCGTGATTCGGGTAGTCCTAATTTTCTGATATTCTAGCGCAGGCCCACACACACTCTCTCCACTCGCCACTTCACCTCTGCCCGATTTTTAGGCTGCTTCTGCACGCTTTCCCTGGTGCTGGGAAGAAGCATCATGCGGAAGTAAGAAAAATTTCTATGGATACCTACCGACTGCGAAATTTCTCTCTCCTTTGAATCTACAGTGCTCACGCCACGCTTGTCGGCCTTGGGTTACCCTCTCCGTCCAAACCACATGTACCTGTATGCATACCATGCTCGTACCTTGGGACCACCCGCACGTCGGACTCCTCTTTGCCTCCTCCCATGGACGGGGCACTCATATATAGTCATCGTGGCAGCGGTGATCGCTCACGGCACGGATCCACTACTCGCACCCCACCGCGCCCCTCTCTTCTCTTTCGTCGTCATATCTTCCACCGTCTACCGTCTCGTCTCGTCTTGACTCCTCTCGTCTCGTCTCTTCGTGACATCTGACATAGCCACCGGGAGGACGACAAGCGTAGCACGACACCAACATGGACGTGGACAAGATCAAGTCCGCTGATGCGGCGTCGCCCTCGATTCGTGACCAAGACAATGGTCCACTCGCTTCTCGTTCCAGCAGCGATGTAGAAAAGGCTTCATCATCAATCCAGGCGGGTGAAACGGTGCAATTGCAGCGCAAGCTACAGTCGAGACATTTGCAAATGATTGCGATTGGTATCATCTCCCCTTCTTCATCTTGGCGCTTCCCAGGCACTTTTGAGATAGATAGAGAGAGAGAGAGAGAGAGAGAGAGAGAGAGAGAGAGATCTACTCCATGCTAACACACATTCTCTCCAGGTGGCACAATCGG